GAAGAATCGAACAGGAGAGCTGGCTATAAGAGGAGGGCGAGGTGCTATGTTCTTCTTACTTACCTGGACGGGGTCAACGGGCGATCAAGAAGGCCTGTGGCCTGGGTCAATGGCCCACATTGCACTTGGTGGGTGCGTTGACCCATCATCTCCCCAAGTGGGAGAATGAACGTCATAATTTGTGATAGAGGGGGTACGCGTTCGCGCGGCCCCTGCCAATCTTTTCAAATTAAATTTTGCTCCCTGGCCCGGCTTTCTTTAAAGAAGTTCGTTTTTGCAATCCAGTCCCTGGTCTGGTTCATCTGCTGCATAGCGTCCGTGAGCAACAAGCAGGGTGTGCTGTCTGAACAAAGAATTTTCTTTAGCTGAACAAAGAAAATGAGAACATCAGTAATGGCATGCTTGCAAATCTTGTTCTCACATTCAGGTACCTGGCCTACCATTACCATGCATGCAAATGTTGTTGTCATGTTCAGGTCCTTCGTCTGAACCCCACAACGAGCAACCAAAATCTGTTTTTCTTTAAAGAAGTTGGTCAGATTTGCCATATTGCATGATGATTGCAAATTCAGAGGAAGGTATGTGGCGTGAACGGCATGCTCAAATCGGCACCGAATGCTAGAAGCAGCAAAGAGCTGACCCGACGACGACTGTTAACAGACGGACCTAACCTGAAGGGTGACAACGACCCTTAACGGTTCAGATCAGAACTCGGGCCAGTACCTGACCTGAGGACGGCCGGCACTTCAGATCAGTACCTGACCTGAAATGACCGTTAACGGCACGCTTGAGATCAGAACTCAGACCAGCTTAAAAGAGAACTGTGGAGCTTCTTTGCAACGCTATGAAATATCACACGCCCTTCTTTACTCAAACCTTCTGCCGTAAATCCACGAAGTTATCTTTGCAACGCTATCTTAAACCTCGCAACAACAAAAAAACAGTGCTTTCCAAGTAACTAAGGCGGCACGGCAGAAACAGCAAGGCTCACCATACCAGCAAAACTGTCCACTTCGAGATCTCGAAAGTGACAACAGCATGTAAATAAAATTGCCTTGATACATTATTTTGATTCAATTGTTTACAACACCTTTTTTAAGGGAATTGCTCGCGGCAGTTTGGTGAGCTAACGCACAGTAAGAACTCACAACAGCTTACCTCTCAGCAGCACGAGAAGGCAAACATGTTCAGCAACTAGCACTGAATATATGAATACAACAAAACTTTGCCAGCAGGTGGTGGTTCTCCTTCCGCCAAGGATAGGTTTACAAGAAGCATCTCATGTAGTGCCAAATGAGCAGGGGGGCAGACATGGTTTTTCGCCACGATTTCCCGAGCCAAAGCGCAATCTCAATACTCTAAAAACATTAAGGTGCCAGGGGATCCCCCAACACTCAGAATAAACCAGCCTAGGAATCTACTCCCCGGGGCGTAGGAGCTCCCATGAGTTTGGGGCAAAGGTTATGTACATTACAACAGAAAATGGAAGCATCATCGCATTAAACGGCTGCGGCGCTCGTCACGTACGACACCACGACCGTGATGTCGTCAAGCTTCCCTCCATAGTACCTGTACCCAGCCTCCTGAGCAGCGGCTGCAAAGGGCGACTGCCTGTGCTTATCCTCCGCTCTCTCCCGAGCAAGGGCCGCGATTTTCTGAGCTGTGCCCTGGGCACCGAGGCCACTCCTGAGGGCCTCGACAACGACGGCAGTGATTTCGTTGTCGTACAGGTTGTCGAAAAGCCCATCCGTGCCGGCAATGATAACATCACCAGAAGCAACCGAGTAGTGAAATACCTACATAAGTGAGTACAGGGCATCATGTTATAAAATATTTCAATGCTATAAACTTTACTCCAGAGAAGAAAGACTTCCGAGTTAATATGTTGTATCAGAGTTCTCCAAGCAAGGATTCAAAGATAAATGAAGATCACTGCAAAGTCAGGATGTACTCACGTCGGCAGAACTTGGAAGATCACTGCCACCCCCACTCTCGAGCTGATAAGTAAAATTAAAATCATGCTGCTGCGAAGGTGATTTGAGAACAGTGCGGCCATCTCTGACCACTATGAAGCCACTGTCCCCAAGATTTACAGCATGAAGACCCTGCAAGTTTAAATAGCATGATAGTAAGCATCACTAAACTAGAAAAAAGGACTGCAAAATAAATGTGTTCCTTTCCAGAAATACGAATCAGGAACTTCTAGTTCTGTAGAACTGAAAGTGCTCAGACATGACCAAACAGATGGATACGAGATTTATCAATACAGTTACTTTTATACTCGTGGACGAGAATACCACAGCACCATAGCGATCCAAGAATGTAGCACCAAAAGTGCTATTTCAGCTATACCCATTTTACTACATCAACAACCCCTTTTTCCTCCGATAATGTGGGAGGTGCCTTACTGTGCTACTATACATGGTCCAAAGCAACTACATAGTAACAATTTGTGTTTACTCAGCACAATAAATCAACTGGCAACGGAGGGAGACTACAATGAACAACGATTAAGTAAAGTCAGAAAATCTGGCTAACCTGTTCTTTAAGAGTGATGATGCAAGCAGTTGATGATCCCCTTGCTTTGGTGCCTGTAAAAGCTTTCTCCAGAACTCTTGATGGGTCAATTGCACCTTCTGGTTCATCCTTGATAGCACTCATTGATTTACTCATTAGTTCTTTCGCATATAGTCCAGCATCAACACCGTGATCTGCCCAACCACCAACACCATCTGCCACACCAATCGCCTGTTCATCAATGCAAATGAAGTGGCCATCTTCGCCGCCAGTCGCCTCCTTAGCAGGATGAGGCAGGTAACAAGAACCTGAGACCAGCTTCAGTTTTTCAGGAGCAGGTGACTTCCTGTAGAAAAAGTTTTTAGCCAACCAACAACAGGTGCAAAAAAAGCAATAGAACAGTTGCTATCAGAAGATAACAGCTGGAAACAACATGAGAGCAAATTTCCTTAAGATGCAATGGACTAGTGTGTAGGAAATAGGCCGCAAATAGTTGGTTCATGTTCGATGTCTTACATTTTGTGCCGTCCTGTTGCTGTTATCCAAAAAAGGATAATAAAGTCTTTTGTATCTAAATCAATTTATTCAATATGTTTGATCTGCAAGCTAATATGGGGATAGGCTTTTTAAGTAACTTTAAGATTGGTGCAAACTTTTAAGGGAGGGAAGGGGTACCGAAGCAAAACTCAAACTTATATCCCTTGTGGCCTTATCATGAAATAATCACATTAGTCCCATTTCGAACTTAACTTTCTTGATTGAGAAAATGCTTGCTTGCATGTTAGCACTTGCATATAGACAACGGTAAGCACGGAACACAACATTTTGGGTGACTAATAGAAGCATTCATGTATAGTATGGACCTATATCAAGACTCAGGCATTCCTCATGGGTTACATACAGACACTCTTCTTTTGACAAAACATGAAGGCGACAAACACAACAGCGCATGAAATTCTAAAGGAATCGAACATTTCATGGAAATTAAATGCGTGTTCGTATCTGTTATCTGTTTTAGATCAATTTAACAGAAATTCCAAGGGAAACAGTCATTTCGAATTCATAATGGCACATGCAACAGGAATCAGGATACATACCCATCAGAAGCAACGGTGGAGTTATCCGTCTGCTTCTCCTGTAATGCCTCATCCAGGGTCAGTTGACTCTCTGTAGCTCCAGCGGAGTAAGGCGCCGCACACGACGTGCTGAAATCCCGAGCCCAAGGGTCAACCGAGAAGCCGAGCTGCCTGCCTGGTCCAACGGCACTGGTCCAGAACGTCCTAGCCGCCCCCCACTGCTCGCGGCATCTCAAGCTCACGCCGACCTTCTTACAGTACTCCAAACCCCGGTACTTGAACGAGACGTCGGGCCTGGCCGCGGTCCCAGGCGACCCCATGGCGACGACGCGCGAGGCGTGGGCAGCCACGGACGAGGAGTCCTTCTCGAGCTGGCGCTTGGCGGCGGCGCCCAGGTCGGCCCGCCCGAAGGCGTAGCCGCAGGCGGCCATGACGATGCCCCGCTGCAGCAGGCCCTGTCCGGTGCCGCCGTGCGCGCGCACGACCCGGGGCGTCCGGTGGATGGCGGCGGCGACGAAGGCGGCGGCGGGCGCGCGGCGGTCGGCGGTGTGCAGCAGGCGCGCCGGGTAGGCGGAGAGCATGAACCAGGTGTTCCCGAAGAGGAAGCTCCGGCCTCCGCGTAGGTCCGCTCCGGAAGAGGAGAGATGGGAGCTGCCGCCTCTGTTGCTGCCAACGCCGCCGGCTAGCATCTTATGACCGAGCGAGGCCCGCCCGCGAAGATCTCATCACCCTCCTGCCGCGGCTGCCATGGGAGAGAAACAGAAATCCGGAGCTCAGAACGCGAATACTCCGAGAATCTCTCGATTCGGGGAGGAAGGGGGGTTCCGGCCACCGGCAGCGTCGGATTCAGCTGCAAATTGAACGGAATGGACGGGTGATCTTCTTACCGCGAGAGCGACGGCGGCGGCGGCGGCGGGGGGATTTTGAGGTCCGGAGGCTCGGATCTCAGGTACGGCCACGGCCAGCTCCCGCTTGGTGGCGCACCTTCGATCCTGCTCCTGCCTCCTCCGTGGCAGTCGATTAGGGTTTGCTTGCTGAGGTGGGGATTGGACGGGGGAAGCGAGAGGATAGGGCGAGGAGGACAAGGTCGATTTGATTTGAACCCTAGAATTTTCTACGCGTGCGGGAGCGGCTGGTAAGACTGGGCCGTCGTTGACCAACCGGTGGGCCATTCAAGCCCGGTCTGGCCCATTATTAAGCCGGACGGCCTGCGTCGGCCCAGGCTGGCGCAGAAGAAAAAGATCCATATGTATTCAGAAACACACAGATGCACATTTATCTTAAATCCAATGCACATTTTCCCAGAGCGCAGGTAGGTAACAGCAGAAACGAGCTACACTGAAAGTACCACGAAAAATGTATTTCCACGGACATAAACAGGTGTACATGGTAGCAATGGTATGTGAGTCAGTTCCTTGCCCCTATCTTGGAGAACTTCCTTGACAGCTTGAACGCGGAGAACTGGTGCACGGCTTGGCTCTCCGTGATGATGCCGAAGCTTTCGGGGCGCTTGTGCTCTTGCTTCTCGGCGCCGGAAGTTGACCTGCGCAGGAGCTCGAACAGGGAGGCGCCTGAAGTCGAGCCGCCCTCGGAGCTTGCGCCTGATGCGGCTGGCTTTGTCTGTGAACTGCTGAACTTCGCTTTCTTGGGCTGGCTGGGGTTCGCCTGGTCCTGCTGTACAGTGGAATGAGGGGGCACATGAGAATGTTTCTGAATGTAGGGATTGTTCGACTCTGCCTCTGGGCACATTGGAATCATGACAAAGATCAGAGGCAAGTTTTCATCAAGCTTACCACATCCGAGTTGCTCTCAGAGGTTGCAAAGCAGCTCTTGCTGTTGCTATTGCTGTCATCACGACCGAAAATGTAGCCCTTGTAAGTTGATCTATGAGAAGATGAGATTGGACCACTCGTTGTTCGGCCGAGAAAAGACGACTGCAAAGAATATACAATACTGTCAAGAGACGAACATGAGGGGGAAGTCGGTTTAACGAAAATCTCAGCTATGCCTTGCAAGTTGCAATGGAAGAGAACCACAAAACGTTCCCTAACAAAACAATGAGAGGGATAGTACATGTTTAAGTCCAGATTTTACTAGGTGAATTTTCAATTTGGAGCAACATAGGCGATGATTTGCCATATGAAGTCAATTCATATTGCAAACTTTCAGCTGATTAACATCCAGGTGAGAAGTACGGCAACAAACAAAAGAGTGTCAGTAAGCATTTACCTTTGATGATGAGTTGCTGTTACTTCCGACCATAAGCATTTCAAGATTTGCTGAAAACATTAATAAAGAATAGTAATTAGTAGATGACCAGCCATGTTTTCAATCATAGGCATGTATTGAAATTTTGGGAATCCTTACATGTGGCTTGCTTTCCCCTCCTCTTGGGGGGTTGAGGAGCAATATTGAGCTTCTTTATAAGGCTAAACATTTCCCTTGAACTGTCATCTTCCAATGGAGATATGAATGAAGTACTATGAACCTAACAAAGAATATGACACTCAAATTATTTTCCTAAAGCACATAGGGTGGATAAAAATTATGTACTAGCACAGCAAAGGGAGGAACTAACACTTCAAAAATGAAATAGCAAACATTTATCAAGCATAACTGAAGACACTCCGTAATCAAAAGTGTCAGCGCTTACTTCTCGCTTTGAAATACGTTGACGGGCCAAATGCTCCTCTATTTCCTCATCATCAGAGTGCTCATAAGTGTCATTCTCATCTGTGAACATTTTGGCAATCATTTGTTTTGCCTTCTCAGAATTCTGCCGCACAATATTGGGAGTCAAGTCATGTGACCTTTCATTTTCTGATTCATCCTCACAGTCTTCGATATCATCTTCGTCTTCCTCCATCAACACTTTCTGCTCCTGATGACCATATTTTAATCTTTGAATGAAATTATTTGTTTCAGCGGCATCTTGATCTTGAAGCCACTTTTGGTGGAGTGCATTACGTTTCTCATGATCTACTTCTTCTTCTTCAAATCCAGCAGCAATCAGAGCAGTAAGTACTTCATTTTCATCATCACCATCATCTTCTTCGTTGTCCTTAAACCTTGCCATGTCATCATCACTGTCGTCCTCTTCCTCAGCTTCAACGTCTAGAAAGTCTTTCAGGACAGCAGCATCTAGACATGAATCACTTGCAAGAGTTCGTCGAGGTTGTTGATGGGTATTTACATCATTTTTCTGAATGCCTGGATATATGTTCTCCTTGTCATTATCTTCTTCCTCTTCTTCATCTTCTGAAGAACTGAGCCAGACAGATAATTCAACAACATGTTTAATAGCCAGTAGTATAGTGCATCAATATACATATGTAAAATCAGGTAAATTCCATGCAAATGCACCAGGCCGTTGCTAACAGAAGATGGATAGAAGAAGGATGACAGAAAGGTTTTAATTGGCAAAATATAATCATTAAAGTTTACATGGTTCTGTTATTTAGCAATTCACATGGCAAGGCTACAGGAAGAGATAATATGCGGTGCTACAACCAAAACAAGCTTTTATAATCTTATGCAGACCATACATAATAATTAATAAATTGCATGTGCATAAATAAGTTTTTAAAGGGGCAAGGGGGTGGATTTTCTTTACACAAGATAAGTACATTTGTAAATGCTAACAGGTGTTAAGTATCATCAACCGAGGAGGGTGTGATATGCTTACCTATCATCTGTATTCTTGGTAGGGCTTGAAGAGGGAGGTACATGGGCTTCTTCATCTACAGCATCAATGGAGTCGTCGCTTGGTTGGGCATTGTCTTCATGTTTATCTTGAGAATTGTCAACAGGTTCCTGGTAGAACCAATAATCCAACAAGCAAAGCATTAAACAAAAATATAATTAAGCTCTTAAACTTTCAAATCATACATGCATTATATGTCTAGTAATTATTTTCTACTTTATGAGAATTGTCAACCATTGGGTTTACATAATATTCTTTTCTTACTTTGCTGTGAGATAATTATGAATCTATGATAATCCTGGGCAACCAATAACTGACTAACCATAGTAGTAGATAGTACCAACCATTTGATAATCCAGCAACCATTGATTCAACAACAGTAAAGCACAAAGCATATTTTGCATCGATATGTATAATCAAACCAATGCTTTCATTGACATTGCGACACTCAAGTTGAGATAGAAACTTCAACGCAATCAACACAATATCGAGGCATGCTCTTATGGGTAAAACAGCAGCTGCAGATGACTGCAGAATTAGGGAAGGGGCGCTGACCTTGTTTGGAGATTTGCTACCACGTTTATTAAGATCCTTGTCACTAATCACAGCATCCTGCAAACCAAACGCAACATCAGTACAGTGCAAACACCAAACAGCATACTAGTCTGAGTGAAAGCAATGACCACCTCATCCTCAGGGAGACTGGCATGGTCATTCAGGTCACCAGCATTTGCTCCAACCTCCTTGTCAACATCATCCTACAACGATTCACGGCCTTTTAGTTTTATAGACACTATACTGAGCTCAAATCAAGCTATCTGGATGAAGACTCACATTCTTCAGATTTTTGTCATCTGAACCCACTTCCTTAACCTCGGGTATGGCTGGCTCTTCAGCGGGATTGCTCTCGGGCTCTGAAGAGGCATCTTCTTCTTCGCCTTCATCTTCTTCATCTTCCTCTTCCTCTTCCTCTTCCTCTTCAACAGGAGTATTTGACCTGCAAACCGTAGTGGAGAAAAATAACATCAGCGGACAGTCATTGTGTTCTTTGCATAACCTCAGAAAAGCAATCAGACAACTGACGTTTTCTGAATCTCCAGCTTCCGAAGGCGGATCTTCTCCAGGACTGAGGAGATGGGTTTGTACACTGGCTCTGCAATTGGCTTAAATGATGCCTTTCTTGTCTCTGCAGAGAACAAGATTAACAAGAAACAGTTAGATATGCACAAATCTAACACCATCTGATTCCATCCATGCACACTGTCAACATATATACCTCGCAGCAGCCTCTGCGACTCGGCATGGATCGATTCAAGCTGAGCCCTCCTCTCCTGCGCACATCAGTCAGTCCACAGCACACATCAACAAAAGCTACCGACGATTCAACAGAACCAATGCAATCGTGTGAACCGAACCAAGCAAAGGAAACAAAATTATCGAAATGTTACCTTCTCAGCCCGTTTCTTGGATGCGACCGACTCCTTGGGCGCCTTGTCCTTCTTCCTCTTCTTCCCCTCCCCATCCTCCCCCTTCTTCTTCTTCTTCCCCTCCCCATCCTCCCCCTTCTTCTTCTTCTTCCCCTTTCCTTCCGCATCCGCATCCTTCTTCTTCCTCTTGCTCCTCTTCCCCGTCACAGCGACCTCCGGCTCCGGCTCGACATCCATCTTGGCCCCGCCGTCTTCCCCCTCGTCCATGTTGAGCCGCTTCTTGGCGGAGGACTTCTCCTTCTCCCTCCGCAGCTCCTCGATGAGCCCTCCTCCCGCCAGCATCTCCTCCTCGTCGTCCTCGTCCTCTCCCGTCGGAAGACCGAGCGGGTCCCACCCCGCGCCGCCGCCGGACTCCGAGAAGAGCGGGTCGAGCCCGTCATCATCATCCTCTTCCTCCTCCGCCGTGTCGGCCGGCGGCAGCGGCGAGGACACGGGGACGGGAGGCGAAGACGGCGCCGGGGCAGCGGCGTCCGCATCTGCTGGCGGCGGCGGAGGAGGAAGAAGAGGGGACCCCAGGCGCGGGGCCACGGTTTGCTGCTCTGACGGCGGCGGGGAGGGGTTGGGAAGAGGAGACCCTAGGCGCGGGGCCACGGCTTCCTCCGCTGACGGCGGCGATGGCGGGGAGTGGTTCGGAGGAGGAGGGGGAGACCCGAGGTGCGGGGCCAGGGTTTCCTCCTCTGCCGGCGGCGGAGACTTAGGAGGGGAGACGGGGGCGGCGGCCTGGAAGGATTTCTTGAGGCGCTTGAGGCGGCGGGGAGGGGAGGCGACGGGGGAGGCGGGGAGGGCCGCCTCGTCGAAGGGCTCCGTGTCCATGGCGCCGCCTGCCTGCCGGCCTAGGGATCTCCGCTCCGGTTGGCTTCGCAGGGGAGGATTCTCGCGAGGAGTGGGAGGTGGGAGGGGATTGGAACGGCGGATCTCGGAGATGGAAGGGGGGAAACAAAACGAGGGGCGCGCGGCGGGAGAAGTTTCGAGTTTCGCGCCTCTGGATTTTTCCGTTGCCGCGCGTCGCTCACTGCCAGAGTCGGGGAGAGTGAGGCGGGGGCGGAGCGGCCGGCCTCGGAGGAGAAAGTGGGCGTGTTTTTCACTCACTTTCCTTTGGGTGTAGCGGGCTGCGAGGCCCAATCAACATGGGGCCCTGTTTGCCTTGTTTTTCAACTTCATTTTTTAAATATATTGTCTTGTTTTAGGCCGGACCCGAATTCGACGACGAAGCCGCAACGCCCATTCCGCCAAAAAACAATACGGCCACTAGGCCGGACCAACCACCACATGGCCGCGGTAGAGCAGCCACCGATACCGCACCCGATTTACAAGAGCTCCTGGACAAAAAGGCCAGTGCGGCCAGATCCATCTATGGGTCCAGAGGACATGCTCCGACGCGGGATAATGGTCACCACAACGATCACACTAATCAAACACCAGTCTGGAATCAACACCAGAAGCAACAGCAGCCGACAGCATGCCGCGACACGGCCAGATACAGAGGGGTTGTGCACCCCCTGTACTTCACCGATGAGGTGCTAGATCATGAATTTCCACGGGGATTCAAACCCGTGAATATAGAGTCATACGATGGAACGACGGACCCTGGGGTCTGGATTGAAGATTTTATCCTTCACATACACATGGCTCGTGGGGATGACCTCCACGCCATCAAATCCCTTCCCCTCAAGTTAAAAGGACCAGCTCGTCACTGGCTGAAAAGCCTCCCGAAAACTCAATTGGAAGTTGGGAGGAACTTGAGGATGCTTTCAGGGCTAACTTTCAAGGAACCTATGTCCGGCCTCCGGATGCTGACGATTTAAGTCACATAATACAACAGCCCGGAGAGTCAGCCCGCAAGCTTTGGAACAGATTCCTCATTAAGAAGAATCAAATTGTCGATTGCTCGGATGCTGAAGCCTTAGCAGCCTTCAAGCATAGTATCCGAGACGAGTGGCTTGCCAGACACCTCGGCCAAGAAAAGCCGAGAACAATGGCAGCCTTAACAAGCCTTATGACCCGATTTTGTGCGGGCGAGGACAGCTAGTTGGCCCGTAGAGGCACCAGCGACCCAGGCATATCCGAAATTCGAGATGGCAATGGTAAGCCGCGGCGCACTAAGCACAAGTGTCGGAATGGCGACAGTACTGACAACACGACGGTTAATGCCAGATTCAGGGGCTCTCGACCTAGTCAAGGAAAGAAGCCATTTAAGGGCAGTAAAGAGGGACCATCCGGCCTGAATAAAGTCCTGGACAGATTGTGCCAAATCCATGGCACTCCCGACAAACCTGCAAATCATACCCACAGAGAATGTTGGGTCTTCAAGCAGGCCGGCAAGTTAAATGCCGAACACAAGGGAAGGGAAACACCAAGCGAAGACGAGGATGAACCTCGCCAGCCGAACACTAGCGGCCAGAAACAATTCCCACCAGTAGTCAAAATGGTAAACATGGTACACGCAACCCATGCAGAGTTCATAGCCCCCAAATTCAATCCCTAGGCGACTTGCCCGATCACTTTTGATCACAGGGACTACCTGGCCAATATCTGGCACGGAGGATCGGCTGCCTTGGTGCTCGACCCAATAATTGATGGATACCATCTCACTCGCGTCCTAATGGACGGCGGCAGTAGTCTTAATCTGATATACCAAGACACCATCCGCAAGATGGGGATAGACCCATCCAGAATAAGCCAAAATAGTGCCACCTTCAATGGAGTGATTCTAGGCGTCGTGGCCCACTGCTGGGGCTCCCTCGTATTAGAAGTGACATTCGGTTCTCCCGATAACTTCAGAAGCGAGAACTTACTCTTCAACATTGCTCCCTTCAGCAGCGATTATCATGCATTGCTTGGGCGAATGGCCTTCGCTTGCTTTAACGCAATACCGAACTATGCATGCCTTAAACTCAAGATGCCCGGTCCATGCGGCGTCATAATGATTAGCGGAAACACAAAGCAGTATGCGGCAGCTCCCGCTGCCGGACTCTAGGTGGCCTCTCCCACCGGAACGCATGACCGGTCGTCAAGACCACGGACATGGCTAGACGAGTCCAGTACATCACTTTTCACAATAGCTCGGATAAACCTGAGCTAGGTGTTGTACATGTGTCCCCATAAATAATACGAGGGGCTGCAAACATGTAACAAAGCCCACAATTCGGCTCGCCTCGTTAATAGGCAAATATATTGAACATCCATCGAGAATAACTAACTTTTCGCACGCTTACTCTTTTTTTCTCATGAGTTTTCATTCCTACAGACGCTACCAGTGCGACACCCTTCCAGGATACGGCACAACGGAGACAAAAGCGCAGACGTGCAGCAGGGCCCCGCCCACAGGTTTCTCTTTATATTAAGCCCCTGCGTAAACCTTCTTTACTGTCTTTTGTTGCTCGACATCCCATGGGTATTTCATACACCTATAAGGGATACTGGCATTATAGGCTTTTTGCCACGACGGATCAATGCACGTACCTGGAATTACAGGGTCAAGGGCGTTATTCAGCCCAATATATGTTATAGAGTCTGAATACCTTCGGGAGTGTTCGGCATCATGAGTTTGGCCTTATATGCATCAGCTCTGAATCATGTCTTTGGTCAAATGTTGGGTTAGCCCGGCTCCTGGGTTTGCTGCCTTACGTTCCGTTCTATCGGCTAAGGCGGCCAAAGGAGAACTACTGCGATTATGCCCTGGTTATTCCGGATGAGCACCTCAGTAGAGAAAGCCGAAAACTGACTGTCATGATACAGCGAGAGACTGGTCAACCACTCGAGGACTCATCGGAATCTATAGGATTCCTCCGCATTAACGAAGGACCGGTTTTCCGGTCAAGTACGCGCACCGTATCCGGATGCTCGCGGAAGTACCAGGGGCTACATAGTAGCCCCACCTTTCAAACTCCTACGGCTAAGTGAAAAGTGTTACAACTATATAGTCTAGTTTCCTGGTTCACGTGCGATCACCTCCTTAACGGACCAAGACGTTGGATCAAGTGTGTTCACGCATATTTTCTCGAACACCCCCGCATTATGTGCGTGGGGGCTGAAGCCAACGACTGCTAACTTTCACGTTATATGCATACATAAACAGCCGCACAGGAGACATTATAATACTTTCACGCAAAAGTATAAAAAACATCCTCGATAATTAAACACATAATTGTTTACAATTAATAGAATTGTCACTCAAACATGACATTCTTCGAGCTGAGCCTCTATTCTACGGGCACCATCTATGACCTGCTCGAAATAGTGCTCGGTTCGGTCTTGGCTTCCTGCCGGACCCTGGGTTGCAATGCTGGTGGCCTCCATATCCGCCCAATATGTCTTCACACGAGCAAGGGCCATCTATGCACCCTCTATGCATGCCGACCTCTTCTCGGCATCTATTCGCGCTCTGGCGCCAAATAATTGTTGCACCAAACCAAAGTAACTGTCCGGCTTCGGCCCCTTCGGCCACAGATGGTCTATTACAGACCTCATTGCAAGGCCGGACAGCCTATGGAGCTCGGCTATAGTGGCCATCTTCTCACTCGAGGGTAAGGAGCACGCTAGGGCATTAAATTGCGACCAGAACAGCCTTTCAATTTCGTTATCTTTATGATCCTTGAACAACTTGGTTGCATCAGCCGCACTCTTCGCCAAGTCCGCATACTCATCCGCAGCACTCCATAGCTTATCCAACGGAGCATATTTTGGATCTAAAATCTTCATCCGCAATAAATAAGGATTTCCAGCCACAATTTCTCCGGCTTGTCGAAGTTCCTCCCGCGCGTCTCTAATTTCAGAGCGCGTATCCTTAGCCGAATCCAGCGCCTTCTTCAGGTCAGCCGCCTTTGCGTGATTCTCCTTCTCGAGAAGCTCATACCGGTCGGCGGCGTCCCTCAGCTCCACAGCCATCTTGGCTATCTTTTCTTCGCTCCGGAGATGAGCGGCCTGTTCGGCTTTCAAATCTTCGGCCGCCTTTAGAGCAGCCGCATTGCTGACCCGGGCATGTTCCTTGGCTAGGGCAAGCTCCGCCCTCAGGGCCTCAATGGCAGCAGCTCTGCCTGCAGCCACATCGCATCATATTAATATTACAACCTCTTTATAATTTCCTAAAGCAAATAAGGAAAACGAGCACATGTTGGGGAACATAGTAATTTCAAAAAAATTCCTACGCACACGCAAGATCATGGTGATGGCATAGCAACGAGAGGGGAGAGTGTTCGTCCATGTACCCTCGTAGACTGTAAGCGGAAGCGTTATGACAACGCGGTTGATGTAGTCATACGTCTTCACGATCCGACCGATCC